CTCCTGGGCTCAAGCAGATACTCCTGCCCTGGCCTCCCCAAGTGCTGGGATTACAGGCATGAGCCACTGCACCCAGCCAGGTATTTTCATCTTAAGAGCAATAGTTGAAGCTTTTCAATCTCAAATGCTATTAGATAGTATATGTTGATGTATGTTTGAAACTCAGAATTGTTATTGTTAATTTTTTTCTCCTAAAAATTGTTGGGACTATCATTAATTAATTATTGCTACCTAGAAATCCTAGTCTTTGATGGTGAAATATCCTTGTTTTCTCAACATAATGAAATTTACCTGATCTTTCCTCACGAAGGAGAGGTTACCAGTTGGAGAATTATGGAGAATCCTAGCATCTTGATATGTGGAGAGGAAAAGATGGCAAAAAGGCTTAAATTTGATGCATATTTTGTGTGCAGAGTAGGGCATTTTGCCTTCTTAATGGAAACTTCATGCTAGAATGACTTCTGAGGCTATTCTGAAATTGTTGCATTTGATAATCCTTTTTAATGGCAAGCCCCCAAATGTTTGGTGCTTTGTCACTAAATCCTTATCTATATAATTTTTGAGGAGACACTTCAATAACAGTTTTTTTTTTTAAAGTTCTAAGGTAGGTTTTTAGAAGTGTGACTTTTTAAAAATCAGATTTTAGTTCATGAAACTGAAATACCAGTTTTAAAAAACCAAGGTTGAACTGAAAGGCATCATTATGATAGAGGAGCTCTTCTACATCACCTGAATTATTGTTTCCTTCTTTGCACCAAGAGCAGATTAAATATGCATTCTCTTGATATCCAGTACTTGTTAGCAATTTTCAGAGTAAAGTATTGCCGTTTGATTTGTTTTTTCTATTCATAATCATTTGCGTTTGCTAGGAAAGTGCCTTAGCTTATGCTTATAGACAAAAGATGATTCTGCTTCTTTTTGTCATCCATTTGACACCCAGGGCCATCTATGTGTTAAAATGTAGCAATAGCAATTTCTCTCCTTGACTTCCATGTTAATGTAGCATGTGCCCTCAGGTTTTGCTTGTATTTGGAGCTCCCTCTGACCTGTCAATTCTGGATTAATCTAAACCTAGGACACTGAGTTACTGACACCTGCAGTTTTAGCCTAAAGAACTAAAATTTCCACCTTTGTGTTTCTGTGCAAATTAATCATCCAAAAAAATCTAAGACAGAAAGCTGGTTGGAATCCATGACTATCACTGCCCATATAGTCATCCCTTACTTACAAGAAACACATAAAGATAAATATTGAAGAAAGCAGCCTCTTTGGGTGTGGAGAATGTGGTTTTGTGCTTACAGTAAGTTAGCAAATAAGTTACAAAAAATTGTAATATTTACAAATATCTATATTGGAAAACTTTTCCTTGCTGTTTTTCTTACAACTAGTGTCTCTATGATATCTTTTCTCCGTAGGACTTAGACATCAACCTGACAACTAAATTCAGCCCTAAGTTTGGAAATATATCATTGTTTTCTTTTTCGTACTCTTTCATCTGTGTAACTATCCTAGGAATAAGAAGTCAAAGAAACTTTAGAGGTCTAAAGAAAAATGAAGTTATTTGTAGATTTGCATGCACACACACATAATACACATTATGTTTTGTAGAAGAAAAAAAGAGCTATTATATAATTTATGAAAGGAGACTGTGTCATTTTAAGAGAAATAGAAATGCTTTTGTGATTTTTCTTTGAAATTCACCTTTCAAAATATTCAGTGTCTAAGAAATTGCTTACCGTTATTTTGCATGAAATGAGAGCCACTCATTGCAGCGTATTAGTTTACGATCTCCCTTACCTGTTTTAATCTACTGTTTTTATTAAAATGAGTTGGATTGCTGTTTGCTTTTATCACTGCATTTTTATGAAAAAGATGAAAGTTGGTTTTTTAAAAAGCATTTTCAGATGATCAGTTTTTAAGATAATATCATTTTTGGTGCTTAAATAGATTGTAAATGGAATCACTCATTAAAGTAGAGCAGCATGTTTTCACAGAAAAAGGAGGAAACTAATGTAAAAACTTTTTAAAAGAATTTTGCTCGCTACAGCTTTTCTCTAGCATGTAG